GGGATGTGGAGTGGCTTCAGCCAACCCGGGGCTCCTTGGGGCTCCTCCAGCCAAGGTGGGAGGGGGGGCGCTCCAGCCGAGGCAGGGAGTGCTCAGGGCTTCAGCCAGCCTGGGAGTCCTGTTACGGGGGGAGGGGAAAAGGACTTGTGGCTCCAGCCATTGTGGGAGAGAGGGTCTCGGGGCTCTGGACATGGGGAGAGCACAGGCGGAAGGGGCGGAGCCAGGGGCTAACCTCCCCAAAAGGGGACTCCACCCACTGCCCATGATTGATAGGAATTCTACATGCACATTGAGGCGAGAGTAGCCTCTCTAGCATTTGCAGATTTAATATTCTCTTTTCTAAAGTAAGTAAGATCATATAATCCATGCTTTCTTCTCTCCCAGATACAAAACTGAATTTTCTAGCACTGTGTAGAGCTAGACATTTACCAGTATCAGACCCCATTGACTTACACAAATTTGATCTTCACCCCTTCAGTTTTAGATGACGAGATTTTAGATGACAGAGTCACCCATCACATTTTTTAAAAAAACAAGTCTATTTTTGCAGTTGCTGTATCATAGCAGAGCATATGCCGATTACGTCACTGTTGACTTGAAGTCCATTGTATTAAACTCTAATTGTGCATTTTTTCACAGGTTCACAAAGGCAAAAGCATTTCATATCCTGGTAATTATTTTGCTTTTGTTCCGTGTTGCAATATTCCCAATATATCTGTAAAATTCAAAGATAAGGTACAATAACATGGACTGCATGTAAAATACATTCCTCAGTCACACCCTTGGATTAGGAATGTCAATATTTGTGAATTGCTCCTTTCCCAGGTACTCTTGTTATATCAGATTAGTTATGTTGGATCAGTAGGTTGCTCCATAAAGTCCTCTGTTGGTGACTGATGCAGGGATCTTATTTTATAAACAGCTACAGAAATACTGGTATTTGCATAGGAGCTGTTTTTAAGACTGCAAAAAGAAAAACAAAAGAGCTCTCTGCCCCTGTCTGTGTTTCATTTAAAATAATTCTTACTCATTTTCTGGTGCAGTGGGAATTTAACTTTTTTGGTTCCCCCCCCCCCCATCATATTTCATGCTGGCTGTCATGGTCACGTCTGTGCTCTCATTTGTGTTCATTGAGCAAATAGTCTGTGTCCACCTTAACAGAGAGGTTAGAGGGAGGGCAGAGCAGACATGGCCGGGCTAAGCAGAGGGTTTTCAGGGAGATGATAGTTTAGACTGAAACTAGACTGGAATTCCTGCCCAGCAGCTGTTAAAGTCAATATATTAGAAATACACTCTCCAGTGAGGACACAAGAATTTCTTTAACTTAGTGTTGTGGAAAAGTGTCTGACATTTCACTAAAGCCCCGATCCTGTACACACACACGTGCTTAACTTTAAGCACTTGTGGAGATCCATTGAAGTCAATGGGACTGTTCCAGGGGTGATAGGTTTGTAGAAATTTTGGTGGTGCCCAGAACCCACCCTGCGCAAACTCCGCCCCCCCCCAGACTCCGCCCCCCACCTGCCCAAGGCTCTGGGAGGGAGTTTGGGTGGGGGAGGAGGTCTGGAGTGCAGGCCCTAGGCTGGGGCAGGAGATTGGGTGCAGGCTCTGAGAGGGAGTTTGGGGATGGGAGGAGGTGCAGGAGTGAGGGCTGTGGGGTGTGGCTGCAGATGAGGGGTTTGGGGTATGGGAGGGGCTCAGGGCAAGAGTAGGGATGTAGGGGGTGAGGGCTCTGTCTGGGGCTGGGAATGAGGGGTTTGGGATGTGGGAGGGGCACAGGGTGAGAGTAGGAGTGTGGAGGTGAGGGCTCTGTCTGGGGCTAGAGGGTTTGGGGGGTTAGAGAGGCTCAGGGCTGGGGCAGAGGGTTGGAGTGCAGGGGAATGAGGGCTCTGGGCTGGAGATGAGGGGTTTGAGGTGTTGGAGGGGCTCAGGGCTAGGGTAGAGGGTTGAGGGTGTGGTGGGGGGGTGAAAGCTCTGGCTGGGGGTGTGGGCTCTGGGGTAGGGCAGGGCTGGGGATGAGTTTAGGGTGCAGGCAGCCTGCTCTGGGACAGGGGCCAGAGAGGAGGACTCCTCTTAGCCCTTTCCCTGCTGGCAGCAGTGAGCCGGGGGACACTCAGGGGAGGTGCGGGGGGGTGGCAGGTGGGGTTGAGGGGGACACCCAGCCCCAAATATTGGTGGAGCTGGGCCCCTGGGCTCTGAATATTGCTGGTGCTAAGGCACCACGTGGAGCTATATCTCACCACCTCTGGACTGTTCATGTGTTTAAATTCAACCATATGTGGAAGTGTTGCCAGGATCAGAGCCTAAAATGTTAGTTTGCTGGCTCCTATAAAGCAGGAGCACAGACATTGTTACTGAGCACTCCACCACGTTTTTTACTTTCACAGCATTTCTTTATCTAAAGAGAGGAATAGATGCAGTTGCTGGATGAGCATTTTTAGAGCCTAGACTGACGCTGTTAGCAAGCAATGATCTTTCAGGAATGGGGAAATACGGTCTTCTTGCTAGGACATGGGACAGGGAGTCATGAGACCTAGGTTTTCTTCTGGGGTTCTCCTTCAGTTTGTGTGTGAACTTGAGCAAGTCTCTAAACATTTGCAAGTATCTAATATTTTGGGTGCCCAACTTGAGACCCTAGAGCCTGGCGGACATTTTAAGAGGTTCCGAGCAGCCCGAGGTCCCCATTGATTTCAACTGCCGTTGTCTTTCTCAGCACCTCTGAAAATGAGGCACCTAAAATTAATGAATACTAGAAAATGTGGGCCTTAACGTCTCTGTGACTTAGTTTTCTCAGCTGTGTGTTGAGGATAATACCACCAATCTTGGTGTTGTGACTAAATTCATTAATGATTTCCTTTTAAATCACTGGCTGAAAGATACTCTTGAACTGTAGAATATCAATACTATTTTATTGTATAAAATTATATAATTTTCACTAGTTCTCTTCTTCTGCTTCAGAACTTTGGTAACAGAAAAACTAACAGTATTAAAAATAACCAAACAACTTGGATTTTAATGTATCTAGTTTGGAATATATTTTACCCTTTTAAGAAAAAGGTTGTAATTAAATATTTTTGTAGGCCAAGATGTTCTCCGTTATTCATCAGCTACAAACTTGTGTTTCCATTTTGACTCACACAGGAAGAAATTTTCCAGTGTGCCTTAATTCTGTTAGTTAATTCAATATGATGTTAATCAGATATTGTCCAAAAATGAATAAATAATCTTGTGGGGGCAGTTTTTTTGTATGTCTATAAAATATCCAGAATATTTTTAAAGACTTAAATTCTTTGTGGGGGAGGCTGTTTGAAGAGGATTTTGTACTATTTACTGCAGTAAAGAAATGTAGGGATTACTAAGAGATCCTGTCAGTATCTGGGTCAGAAATATAGCCCAGAGGTATTAGTATGATAAGCAAGTATAAGCATTAGACTGTATTAGTGACTTAGCTATCATAATAGTACAATACTTCATCATGTGATGGCTAGTGCACCAAACATTTATTGTGGATTAGCCATAAAAATGCACAAGCTGTTCCCCCCCCCCGTTCCCCCTAAAAAGGTGACTATTACTCCTTTTAGTAATTCAGACCTGAAATTTGCATATTTGTGGTGCAGACATTTTTACTGTAGCAGAGAAAGAAACAGATTCATTTCCATTTCCATTTTTTTAAACAGAAGTATTGCAGTGTACATGATGGTTGGTAAACAAAATATAATATTTGCTCTACTCTTGCAAAAACAACGACTGTTTCAGCATTTGCAGCATGTGACAGTTGATCTACTTTTTTAGAGAATTATTCTAATATCTCTCCCAAAAATGGTAACCTTGTATGGAAAATTTTAGTATGTTTCTAAATAACAATTTTCTTTGGTGTGATTCCATCTAAATCCCTTTGCCTACTTTCAGCTTAAAAAGCCTAAACCATATGACTATTGAAATGCTGCAAGATACAAAAATTGAGTTTTGTCTGATGTCTGAGTGTTTTTCCATCTCATAAACATATTTAAAGGAAACTGGGAGATAATAGACAAAAGTCTACTACTCTCTTTTTTTGCTTTGTAATACCAGGTTTAAGATCCTTTGATCCTCCCTTCCTTTACTGTGACCTCTTCTAGGGTCTTCAAATTATAAATTCCAGATTACACCTCCGCAATTTTCTTTCCTGGGATGATGAAAGGATTTGAGTATTGTGATGATAATGTAAAGAATCCTTTTGGAGCTAATTTGAAACTGCAACAAAAAAATGAAATTTCCAAAGCAAATTACAATATTCGTAAAGTGTTCTACTGATACCTAACAAATTTCTAGCCAGTGTGTCATATTCTTGAGTATCTTGCATTGGCCTGTTTATAGGCTTGTCTGCCTTCTTCCATTTCATTTGTCTTTAGCTGTGTGCAGGGGATTAGCATTTCATCAGGATGGATTAAGATTGAGTTGACATTGAAGCTTTATTTATTTATTTATTTATTTATTTATTTATTTATTTTTATACATATACATGTATGTATATGAAAGTATATATAAATAAATGTAAAAATAATTTTCAGAAGAGAAATTATATTGAGGTTGCTGGATCCGCTGGCGCAGAAGGTTTCATTGGGCTAAAGTGATGTCACATGGAACAAAGGCTTTAGAGGTTTTATTTAGCTCATAATCCTCACACACTGCTAGACCAGTTGTCCATGTGAGCAAACTGTCCCAAACAGGAAGGGATAAACCATCTGGATTAGATGCAGCAACCCTTGTCTGTGACTGAACTATACAGAAAAGACCTTTCATTCTTCGGTTTTGGAGTGAGACTGAGTTACAGTGGGTGTTGTGTGTTTTGTCTACTAAAGTTTCGAAGAATTAATAATTCAGGCAATACTTTGAAATATAAAACCACCACTTGGTTGTTTCTGAAGTCCCAGAAGAGCTCAGATACAGCTCGATCTGTTTTTGATGTGTGTAATAGAAGATTTAAAAAGAGAGGTTCCTTCTCTTCTTTATCTCAACAGAAGTCAATTGTTTCATTCCAATGCCGATTCCAAGTAAGCATACAAATATCGGCCGTTCTCAGAGCTGGGATGCTGCAGGATGGTATGAAGGCAACTGGGAGAATGAAAATGCATTTGAATATCAGAGACCAACAGGGAGAAGAAATTCGCTGACTTACGGTGGAGAAGGAGGTTGGTATGAGCAGCCAAACCATAGACTGCATGATATCATCTTGCAAGGAGGCGCTGAATTGAAGCAAGAGCCGTACCCATATCAGCATCCAGTTTTTAACCAGGGTCCCTTACGGAAGGGTTCTGTTCCTGACTTCACTTACTACGACAGACAGGCTGCAACGTCTGGACGAAGCTCCTTGCCATCTCAGGATTATTACAGTGACCCATCTTTAGCCGCTAGATCACCTAAAGATCCACACTACTATAGAGACCACATGATTAATAGATCATTACCGAATTATGGGATTCCCGGTAGCAGATTGGCTTGGGATCAGGTACAAGGACGGTCACCTGCCCCACACGAAGCCAGCCGTATGTATAGGGATCCCATGAGTAAAATGATCCAAGAGGGGCAGAGAATGCGAAACCGAGATCCTTCTCCTGCAAGGTATGGTGTTGAACCGCCCACCCCTAGATATGGAACAGAACCACCATCTTTTCCCAACAGGCAGGTCTATAGTGATACAGCAGAGAGACCTATAGAGTCTGCAGCTGCTAGACAAACTACTCCAACGTGCTTGGTGGTTGATCCGAATTCTGCTACTGTTGTTGATGGGAGCATAGGTCCATCTGCCGTTGCTGTAAATCGTGGTTATGGACCCATCAGGGAAAATGTCAATGCAAAGATTTCTTATGATAGTTATGAAACTGCCATGACTCCTTCCCATTCTCAGGTGCCCACAGCTTTCGCAGGACAAGAAATTAAAAGAAACTTTGATCCGGAGTTCCTAGCACTTCTGCGTTCAGAAGGCGTGTCTGAAAGTACATTCAATGCTTTGCTGCAGCAAGGCTTTGATTCTCCAAGCCTGCTCGCGATGATGGAAGAGAATGATATAAAATCTGTAGCTCCAAATCTTGGACAGGCAAGGGTGCTTTCCCGCATTGCCCATAACTACAAAACAGAGATGCAGCTACAAAGGCATGATGGGAAGAACAGCACACTCCGTCCCAGGACCAGATCTAACAGCTTTAGTCATCGAAGTGAACTGCTGCAGAATGCATATGGCATGCACCCTGCCTCTGGTCCCGGTGTAGATGGCACAACTATGCAGCAAGCACCTCCTCCTTCTCTACAGCCAGTATCACCAAGAGTTGGAGAAATAAATCGTCGCCCATCCAGTGCCCCGACACAGCACCTTCTGGAAACTGCAACTTATTCTGCATCTGGAGCAGCTCATCAAGGTGCTCATTTTCTAGCTAATTCTGGCTACAACGCTCCTTTACCATGCAACATGCACACTCGTCCAGTGTCTGCCTATTCCACTCCAACTGGATTACCAGGGACTACAGCACAGACTAACCCACATGCAAATCCCAAAACAGCATATCCAACTACTTACACAGTGCCCATGGAGCTGCTGAAGAGGGACCGAAATACATCAATGTCCCCAGTGCATAGCCCACACAGCAGTCCTCAACTTCTCCGAAAGCAAGGAGCCCAAATGGATTCCACCCTGGTGCTTGCTGGCCCAAGTTTTCACATGCAACATTCTCCTTATCAGAAACTCACCAGACGCACTGGACCACCAGTTATTGTCTCAACCATGGCATCACCTGAACCAAGTAATTTTCTAAAAATGTATTCATTAGTAGTGTGCTCTAGGAGAGTTATGTCTGTGTTTGTTTATCATAAGATAAATTTGAGTCTAATAAATCCAGTTAGACTTAGGGCTAAAATATTAGATACATCCCTATGCACAAAAAAGTGGGGCAAATAGGTTTATCCCGGGGCCACAAGTTATTCAGAGTTTCTAGTGCTGCCTTTCACAGTGCGATTAAATTCAGAGTATTTTATTTGATTAGCTAACTTTCGATAAAGTGACTGGTATATCAGATAATTGTTCTACTATGAATCTTGCTGTTCCTGTTGTTTGTACGGAACAGAAGATTAGATACTGAATTTTCTGAGCAATTAGGTTACAGGGTTAGTTGTAGATTTACTTCTTACAGTTGTTATCGGGCACAAATATGTTTCTCAGAGGAAATGGTTAGCATTGTTTTGACAAAATTTATCAAATAGCTAATGGTGTTAATTCTAGAATTGACTTACCTTTGGCAGTTACCATAGTCTTTTTTTAATTAATTTACTGTTTTATCAGGCACCTAAAATAAAACTCTTGATTTCCTATTAGGAGTACTTATAAGTGTGGCTTTGTAACTATTAAGGAACTAGGTCTACGCTTAATGTTAAAGTCAATGATTAACCACTAGAGTGATAAAAAGGAGTGGTTGCCCTTTTTTTCCTCCTCTTTTTTGTCTTCAGAAATGTTCAAATCCCTTCCTGGTTTAGGGCTAAATGGTTCAAACAGACATAATACTTCAGCTTTAAGTTGACTCTTGCTAGTCAAAGACCAACAAAAATTACCATAGGAAATGCATTTTGCAGTAAGAGGAAATTTAGACGATCCCATTAATTTGTTACTTTGACTTTTCTGATAAATGTTAAAAGCCCTTTAAAATGCTTTTTGTACACAGTGATAGTGACTGTATGGGAGGGAATTATTTCTCTGCACAGCTGAACCACCATACAAACAAGTCATGAACAATGTACTGTACAAGCGCACACACAAAATGCCTTAATAAAAGTATACCATTTATAGGCATAGAAACTGTGCCAAGCCAGTGATGACATTCCATGGGAATCTAAATAAAGAACTATTTTGCAAGTGGAAATGATAAAAGTTGTCAAAATTCAGACCTCCCGCCCCCTTTGCTGCAGTCACAGATTTAGAAAGTAGATTCCTCCTGGTTTGTGACTATTTTATTTAATTTGTGTAATTTATAAATATATATCATATTTAAATATTCATCAACATTATGTGTATTGACATGATTCAGGCACAAAGGAAGGGCATCCAGGCAGGCTTTTTGAATAAACAGTTTCCAAAAGCCTGAAAAATGAAACTGACATAATACTGAGAACACAAATGTTAATTTAATTGCAGTGTATCTGATCCAGCTGATTACTTTGGTAACATTGGAGTGAAAGTACATATTAATACTGTTGCAAGGGACTGAAGAGGTGTATACATTTTGAATGACTTTTTTCCCATAGGATAAATTTAACATTCCTTCCATTATTCCTCATATTTAAATTGTGAATTATGTTCTTTAAAAATCTATACTATTCTTTTCCTTTAAAAAAAAATCCATGTATGACAAGAAGAAACTAACAATGTTTCTGAGATCCTGAGCCCTCTTCTTCACAAGTCAAACATTCTTTCTCTACAACCAGCTCATTTGCATGAGGATGACATTTGTTGCTCCAGTAATTTCATCAGATAATGGCCAGCTTGCAAAGCGGATCTGAAAACATATTCCTTAATTATGTGTTGCTAAGCAACGAGAGGGTTTGGTCATAATCACAGAAAGATTATCTTCTCATTGAAGTGGCTGAAAGGTTTAGCTGAAGGAGGACCTGTAAAATTGTCTTCACTTATTTTGCATTTTATTTTTTTTCAAAATAGGACAAGAAAGGGCTTTTCCCCCCTTAAAATGTAATTTTAAACTAGAAGTCAAGGTAAGATGCGTGGTGTGACAGTTTCAAGATGTCTTAACTGTGCTGAGGAATTAGTCTTTGAAAAACACCATTTCTATGCAGCATTTGGTGTTTACTGCAATCAGAGTTGAAGGTGAACTTCCAAAATAGTCCTATGAGCATATTTCCCAGCATTTTCATGGATGAGGAAGAGCCTGGATACCTCTTTTATAATTTTTGTATTAAATTTCTGAAGCTTTATGTAATTGATTTATGAATACCTTGTATTTTTGTAGTTGGAACAGCTCAAAACAAGTGAGTCCAGCTGCCCTGCCCAAATGAGTATTTCCAGTGATGAGGACTGGGAGCAAAAGTGAGGAACCAAAGGCCCATCTCAAATATGCAATTGGAGAATCATTCAAACTCCTGGTTATATGTACAGGTCTAGAAGGAAGTAATCAAAGAAGATGTCATGTATTGTCCAGACCTGCTGAGGCTGGAATGAAGGATAAGGCTCCCATATAGTGGTGTAGGAAGCTGTCATAGTGGATAGTGGGACTCCTTCGATACCAGAGAGGATGGAGGTTTCATGAGAAGGAAGAAATTTGATTTTCCAAAAGGTCATAAGAGACAATCTAGGGCACAGAATGCCTTAAATTAGAGGCCTTCCTGGAATGTGGAAAGCCAGACAGGGTGACTGTAGCTGTCTTGGACAAATAGTTCTCTGTAGCGTTAGAGATTCGTCTTTGCTAACCAGTATTCTCTTTAACAGCTTGGAGCCCAGCTCTGCTTATATTCTGCCTAACACGTATTTGTGATTTTTCTCTTTATTTTCTACTCTGACAAATAAACTGTGCTTTTATTAACAATTGCATGAATTGTGAGTTAGTCGTTAAGTTGGGGGTAATCCAGAGAGAGGGAAACAGAATTCTGACCTTATGGGAGGCAGAGTCAAAAGTGGGGTAATGGGCATCAGCATCTGGGTAAAGACAGGTTAAGAGAATTGCAGTTCTGTTCGTTAAATTATGCCATGATGACACTGGCATAGAGCATTATGGGCAGAGAGAGATCTTACCAGTGATCGTCCTGATTTCATACATACTGAATATTGTAAGGCTGTCAAGCGATTAAAAAATTAATCGTGCTATTAAACAATAATAGAATACCATTTTTAAAAATATTTTTGAATGTTTTCTACATTTTCAAATATATTGATTTCAATTACAACACAGAATACAAAGTGTATAGTACTCACTTTATGTTTATTTTTGATCACAAATATTTGCACTGTAAAAAACAAAATAAATTGTATTTTTCAATTCACCTAATACAAGTACTGTTTCTTGTTTACAGTGTCACCTGAAAGAGAGAACAGGTGTTTGCATGGCACTCTTATAGCCGGCGTCACAAGATATTTACATGCCAGATGCACTATAGATTCAAATGTCCTTGGATGCTTCAACCACCATTCCAGCTGACATGCATCCATGCTGATGACTGGTTCTGCTCGATAACAATCCAAAGCAGTGCGGACCGATGCATGTTCATTTTCATCATCTGAGTCAGATGCCACCAGCAGAAGGTTGATTTTCTTTTTTGGTGGTTTGGGTTCTGTAGTTTCTGCATCAGAGTATTGCTCTTTTAAGACTTCTGAAAGCATGCTCCACACCTCATCCCTCTCAGATTTTGGAAGGCACTTCAGATTCTTAAACCTTGGGTCGAGTGCTGTAGCTATCTTTAGAAATTTCACAGTGGTATCTTCTTTGCATTTTGTCAGATTTTCAGTGAAAGTGTTCTTAAAACGAACAACATGTGCTGGGTCATCATCTGAGACTGCTATAACATGAAATATATGGTAGAATGTGGGTACAACAGAGCAGAAGACATACAATTCTCCCCCAAAGAGTTCAGTCACAAATTCAATTAACGCATTATTTTTTTAATGAGCATCATCAGCATGGAAGCATGTCTTCTGGAACAATGGCTGAAGCATGAAGAGGCATATGAATCTTTAGCACATCTGGCACGTAAATATCTTGTGACACTAGCTACAACAGTGCCATGCGAAAGTCTGTTCTCATTTTCAAGTGACATTGTAATTAAGAAGTGGGCAGCATTATCTCCCATAAATGTAAACAAACTTGTTTTTCTTAGCGATTGGCTGAACAAGAAGTAGGACTGAGTGGACTTGTAGGCTCTAAAGTTTTACACTGTTTTGTTTTTGAGTGTTATGTAACCAAAAAACTACATTTGTACGTTGTACTTTCATGATAAAGAGATTGCACTATAGCACTTGTACAAGGTGAATTGAAAAATACTATTTCTTTTGTTTATCATTTTTACAGTGCAAATATTTGTAATAAAAAATAATATAAAGTTAGTACTGTACACTTTGTATTCTGTGTTGTAATTGAAATTGATATATTTTAAAATGTGGAAAATATAAAAAAAATTTAATACACTTCAATTGGTATTCTGTTTAACAGTATGATTAAAACTGATTAATCGCAATACATTTTTTAATTGCGATTAATTTTTTTGAGTGAATCGTGTGAGTTAACTGCAATTAATCGACAGCCCTAGTATATTGTAAAATGTTTAAAAGTTGATTTGTTCTTTACCCTATATAGTACAATATAGCTGACTAGTTTAGAAATAGTGTCCAGGTTTTGTTCAGTAAAATTTCTGTATGGACATTTAGCACGTAATCACAATGTGCATATGCAAGGCAGCTGGATTAACAGTACACACTGTAAGAGCTCCAAAGGAAGCCACTGTGTACCAAATAAATCGTGTTTAATTTGCACATTGACCTGACAGACCATAACAAGTCCTTTGGTGCCATTATGAACTATAGTTTTAATCCAGGTGACGTACATACTCGCTATCTCCAAGTGCCGAAAAATTAGTAATGAAGATTTTACTGACCAAACAGAAGGGGTATGTAGACAAAACAATTGAATACAAATTGGGAGTCCCCCCTCTCCCCCACATGCTGAAATGTGAAAATGCAGTCCACATTGTGAACAAATAGCTTGCAAAATTTTGATTTATAAAAGCTTTACAACTGTAGATGCACAAAAAA